TTAGAAAATGAACTTCACACAAGTCCCCTCAACTTCAACCAACATTCTGACAAACTTTGTAACGAAATCGTGAATGTTATGATCAGATATGCAAAGAAAACTATTCCTCTTTGCAAGACTAAACACTATCGGGTGTTTTGGTCTGAACACCTTGAGGAACTGAAAAGAAAGCGGGACGCTCTTCGCAACGCTGCTGAACAGACTGGAAAGCGGTAGATGTACAAGCCTGGAGACAACAGTCAGCTGTCCTAAGACAAGCCATCTTACAAGGTAAACGGACTTCCTTCGACAAGTTCATCTCAAATATCAACTATCAAATTGATAGCCAACGCACTTTCAAATTCCTGGGTAACCTGCAAAACAACAGAGAAGGACCCAATAAAGAACCAATACGTTTAAAAAACATACTGCTTACCACCGACTCCGAAATAGCTAACTACTTTGCGAGGTTCTATTCTCGCAAGCAAAGGGAAAACCGTTTTGTCAGAAAATTTTCAAGAGATATAAAGATACAAACAAGACAAGTTTGCTGATATTAAGGAAGTCATTGCAACACCAAATAATGTGCTTACTGAACCATTCAGACCTTGCGAACTTAATGCTGTGAATGTGCTTACTGAACCATTCAGACCTTGCGAACTTAATGCTGTGATGAAATAGCTAAGGTGGAAAAAGTCTCCTGGTGAAAAGGGCAACTTTGACAACTATAGCCCCATCTCCCTCACAAGCGTGCTGGCTAAATTTATGGAAAGAATAGGTAGCACAAGGCTGACCTGATTCCTTGAAACCATCAACATTCTTAGATACGAAGAGGCAGGTTTTAAGCCACAAAGATCAACAAACCAACAAGTAGCCACTTTCTCCCAACACATCAAAGATGTCCTTGATGAAAGAAATACTCTCACGACTATATTCATCGATTTCAAATCAGAGTATGACTTAGTATGGAAAAGGAATCTAATTCTAAAATTGGGGAAGATTGGTATAAAGAAAATCATGCTAAACTGGATAAAAGCATTCATTGGACAAAGATCATGTAAAGTCAGATATGGAAATGCTCTATCCAAATCCAATCTTTTACAATTAGGCCTTCCACAGGGAGCTGCAACAAGTTGCTCTCTTTTCAATGCCTTCATCAATGACATAGCCGAATTGGTACTGACATTCATGGACATCAAGTGCTTAATTTATGTAAATGATCTTGTTCTATTTCGTTCCGCCCCTAAGAAGAACGCACAGGAGAGGACGGATAGTGCCCTAAATTATGTATTGAAACTTTTATCAAACTGGTGCGACAACAATGGAATGGTAATCAACACCGCGAAAACTGCATTCCAAACTTTTCCTCTCCCTCGTCTTAGCATAAACCCGCCCATTTCTTCTTTGGCCCATCAGAGCATAAACCCGCTTCTAAGGTACCATTACCCTAGAAAAAACCAATGAGTTCACATATCTCGGAACTTGACACAAAGCTAACGTGGAAAAGTCACATTGCTAAAATCGAAAACCAATGAGTTCACTTATCTCGGAATGACGTTTGACATGCTAGCGTGGAAAAGTCACATTGCTAAAATAGCAGAACGATTCTCCAATAGACTGAATGTACTGAAGCGTCTTGCGGGTAGCCCTCCAATAGACTGAATGTACTGAAGCGTCTTGCCGGTAGCGTATGACTAGACTGAATGTACTGAAGCGTCTTGCTGGTAGCGTATGGCGCTAAAAGTCACATTGTTAAAATAGCAGAACGAGTCTCCAATAGGCTGAATGTCCTGAAGCGCGTGCTGGTAAGTATGGGGCTGTGCGCGCTCAACTCTAAACACCACTTACACCTATGGGGCTGTGCACGCTCAACTCTCAACACCACTTACAAGATTGTTTATTCACAAATAATGTTGTATGTTTAACCTAATTACTGGAGGGATAAAATCAAACAACCCGGCATTACCCCACTCATTACAGCCACAGAGGTGACACTCAATCCCCTCGAGAAGGCACACAACCAAGCATTACGACTAATTTCACTCGAGAAGGCACACAACCAAGCATTACGACTAATTACTGGAGGTATAAAATCAAAATCCCTTGATGCAATGCTCCTGGTTACAGGGAGCATCACAATATGTCCCCTTATCAAAGAGAAGGCTTTGGTCCTGTATGAGAAGCTACTGCGCATTCCCATGGATAAGTTCTTCAGCACCTATGAGAATAGACCAAGACATCTAAAAACACAATCTGGTTTAATATAGAAAGCATTTCAAATTGATGACAAACCAAAAAGCCTCCCTCTACCTATGAACCCATTAGCAGACACTGATGTAGTGTGTTGCCCCCAACTGCTTGATTACTTCAGGAAAGAAAAACACCCTCCAGAACAAATGCGCTTACTGACCCTTGAGACAATAACTGTCAAATATCCTGGAGATCAATGGCTCCAAGTCTTCACAGATGGACCATGCATAGAAAACCAAGCAAACGTCGGTGCAGGTGTCTATTCTGAACTCTTCTTTTTCTTCGCAACAGCGGGACACAATAGATCCGCTATTGAAGGCGAAACAGAGGCCATTAGGATAGCATTAAGCCAATTATGTTGCCTCGATACGAAATTCATCGAAGCAGTAATCCTTTCGGACTCACAGTCAGCAATAAACTCTCAGAGAACCACCCAAAACAGCTGAGATATACGGATGTAAAAAACTCTATCAGCTGCTGAGAGATAAAGCAAAACAGTGGTCCTACAATGGATTCCTGGTCACTGTGGCAGTAAAGGCAATGAGCGCGCTGGCGCACTTGCTAAGAAGGGGACAACGATTTTGCAAGGCATAGACCGGCCGATGTCTTTCCATACAATGAAGACCTTAATCAGGAGAGAATTGCAGACCTCAAGGTGCAACGAACTTAAAGCTCGAACAAAGGAGAAACAGTGGATAGTGCCAATCTCCGATATAGCCGACTGGCCAAGAATCGAAGCCGTTGCTGAGTTTAGACTACGTACCGGACACGATTGCTTGGCAAAACACCTTCATAGATTAGGTGTATACACTCAACCAGCATACCCCCTACGTAATCTGCAGGAGGAAATGAAGAAGACTCGTCGGATACCGTTTCCAGTCCTACAAAAATTGGCAGAAGCTCCGTGATACTATCATAATGACTGTCATTTGATATATATATTTTTTTAAATAGAGGAGTCGAGAATGTTAAAAATTTTGTTTTGGTATTCCTATTATTTTTCAAGTTTGCTAGTTACAATGATTTCAAAAAGAGAGAGGGTTTGTCATGGTAACATTTCTAATTTTTTTGCGGTCGTCTGCCTTTCCTCAAATGATCGAGTTTGATCTGCAAAACTTGGCATTCGACAAGAAATCGGGAGAGAAGGGGGGAGCAGAAAAGTGTTTCAAGGATGTTAAAGACGCAGACAAAGGTTGAGAGTAAGCAAGCGATGGAATGACATACAGTGGGGTCATGGTAGTTTGAAGTCAGAAGTTAACTGCTAGTTAATAGACTTAGACGTATGAGTATATTTTGCCCAGGGTGTACCGCGTGGAGGGAAGTCTATCGCACTCCCCACTTCAAATCAGGAATGCCGGAGACTTCCTAGTTAAGCTGGTTGAACAAGAGCATCAGTGTAAATTTGTGCCAATGTCATAGTTGTTCACACGTGTTAACAGTTCCCTTAAATACTGCAAGGATTTCATTGAATTATCCCCCCGAAAGGCTAAATTGGTATGAGCAATTCTTCATTTGAGTTGATCTTGTTCTCATGAAATTCGCTGTCAAGCTTATTCTAAACTTCTACAATCTTACTCTCGTTCACAATTTACTACAATTTTGTAAATTCCAAATTGTTGAAGACGGAATTCGAAAGAGCGGAGAAGCTGTTGGTGCAATTTAGCAAAAAATACAATACTATTTGGCTAATATAGTTGAAACCTTTAATTTGTAGCGGATTGCTACCTTAGTAAAGCCTGACAGACTCAGAAATCTCTATGGGAGATCCTCCTACATCTAGCTAGACTCCCAGAACCAGCTAAACCATGGCCCAGCTATAAAGGAAACAGACGTGTAGCACGGGGCTCGCTTATTCAAGACGTATAT